TCCCAGTGACTTGTACACACACACATTGTATAAACTACAAACTCCCAGTGACTTGTACACACACACACATTGTATAAACTACAAACTCCCAGTGACTTGTACACACACACACATTGTATAAACTACAAACTCCCTGTGACTTGTACACACACATTGTATAAACTACAAACTCCCTGTGACTTGTACATACACACACATTGTATAAACTACAAACTCCCTGTGACTTGTACACACACACACATTGTATAAACTACAAACTCCCAGTGACTTGTACACACACATTGTATAAACTACAAACTCCCAGTGACTTGTACACACACACACATTGTATAAACTACAAACTCCCTGTGACTTGTACATACACACACATTGTATAAACTACAAACTCCCAGTGACTTGTACACACACACACATTGTATAAACTACAAACTCCCTGTGACTTGTACACACACACACATTGTATAAACTACAAACTCCCAGTGACTTGTACACACACACACATTGTATAAACTACAAACTCCCTGTGACTTGTACACATACACACATTGTATAAACTACAAACTCCCAGTGACTTGTACATACACATTGTATAAACTACAAACTCCCAGTGACTTGTACACACACATTGTATAAACTACAAACTCCCTGTGACTTGTACATACACACACATTGTATAAACTACAAACTCCCTGTGACTTGTACATACACACACATTGTATAAACTACAAACTCCCTGTGACTTGTACATACACACACATTGTATAAACTACAAACTCCCAGTGACTTGTACACACACACACATTGTATAAACTACAAACTCCCTGCGACTTGTACACACACATTGTATAAACTACAAACTCCCAGTGACTTGTACACACACACACATTGTATAAACTACAAACTCCCTGTGACTTGTACACACACACACACATTGTATAAACTACAAACTCCCAGTGATTTGTACACACACATTGTATAAACTACAAACTCCCAGTGACTTGTACACACACATTGTATAAACTACAAACTCCCAGTGACTTGTACATACACACATTGTATAAACTACAAACTCCCAGTGACTTGTACATACACACATTGTATAAACTACAAACTCCCTGTGACTTGTACACACACATTGTATAAACTACAAACTCCCTGTGACTTGTACACACACATTGTATAAACTACAAACTCCCTGTGACTTGTACACACACATTGTATAAACTACAAACTCCCTGTGACTTGTACACACACATTGTATAAACTACAAACTCCCAGTGACTTGTACATACACACATTGTATAAACTACAAACTCCCTGTGACTTGTACACACACATTGTATAAACTACAAACTCCCTGTGACTTGTACACACACACATTGTATAAACTACAAACTCCCACATAATAGTAGCAGTCTATTCCCAGTGGGAACAGAGCGGGAAAAAGGAAACCAGTGCTCATTGGGTCATTAGGAAATTCTGACATTTGCTTTAGATTGGTTTGCAGGAGTGCAGGCTGCTTATAGGTGCTTGCTTATGGTGTTAATCAAAGAGCAAATGTTGTTGGAACAGATTGTTGCAATTAGGATTTTTTTTTTACAAAATATAATGTAATGAGCTGACCCGCGGCGTATAATATGCTGCTATTTAGTTTTATTTTCT